TTCAGTGATGCAGCTGTGAATGCGAGAGAAGAGTGCCTGTCACTCATGCAAGTGGAGCTGTGTGTGTGTGTGTGTGTGTAAAATAAAATTAACATTCTTGCATGTTTTTTTAAAAAAATCAATCAGTATTTTCCCTTTGTACTTTTTTCCTGTAATAATCTTCTTAATATGATTTTCCCCCTTTGATAATTCACACATTTTTACCCTGTAGCAATAATAATTATTGCATGCATACAGAATAATTCAAATTATTGCTTTTTGTAGCTTTAGGAAACACATTTTCCCCTCCTTGTGTTGGCTATGGAACCATGCCATTGCTTTATGTGCTATGGGCAATTCCATTTCTACCCTAAGGCACATCTTAGCTCAAGATCAATCCTGTTTCTGCTGCAGCTGATAGAAAGAATCAGGACAATTCTCAAAATAGCTTGGAGGGATAGAAGTAAATAAACATTTTGGGTAGCTCCTGTGGTTTGGATCTTGTGACAGTCTGCATCAAAGTTAATGACTTTTTGCAGCAAAGGGTAGAAATTAGCACCTCCTCTCCCATTCCACATTCAACTTTTAGCTGACTGACCAAATGCAAGATGTATAGGAGATTTTAAATTCTGTTCTCTAGCAAGCAAATTCTGTAACAAAATTTGTATTCTGCTTCGCATGAGTGATATTTGGCAAGAGCTCAGGAAAGAGAAGGGGACAAGTGACAAAACTCTTAGCACCACAAGAGCTCCATCCTTTTTACACAAAATTGTGCCATAAGGGCAAAAGATTGGGGCTTGAATTGGGAAGTTGTGATGTACGTTTTATCATTTTTGGGGTAATTATGATTGGCGACTGACATTTATGGTAGTGCCAAAGCATGCGCCACTGCAGAGCTACACAAGACCAAAGAGAGAGATGCCAAAACATAAGGTGTATGGGCTACTTACATAAATTGGGGCCATGAGGGGAAAAAAAATGATTTGAGCTTCATCAATAGAGGTAGTTTTTGACTTACGAGCACAGTTGAGACCAGAATTTTTGTTGTTAAGCGAGGCAATTTCATAAGCGAATTACTATAGTTGTTAAATAAATCCCATGGTTGTTAAGTGAATTCAGCTTCCTCCATTGGCTTTGCTTATTGGAAACTGACTGGGAAAGTTGCAAGTGGCAATTCCATGACCCCGGGATGCTGCAACCTTTGTAGATGCATGCTCGTTTCCAAACATCCAAATTTTGATCACGTGATCATGGGGATGTGCAACAGTCATAAATGTGAGGGTCAATCTTAAGTCACTTTTTCGTGTTTCTTTGTGCCTTTGTAACTTTGAATGGTCACTAAACAAATTGTTGTAAGTCGAGGACTACTTATAATCCAATTCTGATGCACTATAGTTCCAGCAATGTTTCTCAGATGCTTTTAAAAGAAAAAAAAGCAAGCCATTTCCAGACTTATTTTCAACATGACATGCAAGGCCAGTATTTCTCCCACTGATCTGTTTTATCAACATTATATGAAAATTCAAGCCAACAAATATCTGATGCAAGTGACTGCTAGTAAAATCTGGAACTGTGTAGCGGTTTTAATCAAACGATTGGAATCTCTACATTTTCAGAGATTAGAATTTGAGCTAAAGTTATTTTGATGTACATTTTAACTTTCTGTGCAGGACAATCAAGGAAATGACTTTCATCTTGGAATTTTCTGCATGGGGATTTTTCTAAAGAACCCAATGGGAAGATCCACAGTGAACTACAGGTAAAAGTAAGAATGAAGGGATTTTGCATTTGATCTGACCAAAACTAGATCAAAATGCATTTGAAACTTTGGGTTGGTTTCGGTAGGGGGTAACAATGTAGGGAAGTGTAATTTCCCTTATACTGTGCTTAATGCTGTCATGATGCATAGGGGAAGCAGCATACTTGACTTGATAACCAATTGATCTAATCCAACAGGTTTTGTATATATCATGATTTAGATTTTAGCCACTGAAATCAATGAGAATCCAAAGTGCTTTGCTTATAATAATACAGTTTCTTATATTGTATTTGTGTTCTTTGGATAATTAGCTTGTTATTAGTCATAGTTTATACACAGAGAAAAAACATAATCTTTAAAAATGAATATACCAGATCTTATTTATGTTTCCTTTGTCCTTCAGGTTTTTTTTTCCTTCAAGAAGCCTAACAACCATAAAAACACACTTAGATTTCCATTTGTTTATTTTTGCTTGTGAAAGGATCAAGATTTGTGATTTCACTGTACATGCAATAAAATTACCTGGATTCATAATTATATCTAGAGCAATTAAATGATTTATGAATATTTCTTCTTGTAATTAAACAAATATTCTGAACATGTAGCTTATGTCAACTTTCGTTATTTAAATAGTTATAGCACTCATGTCCCCCATGAGTTTAGGGAATGCTGGGTGGTAATTCTGAAAAGTACCGTATTTTTCGTAGTATAAGGCACACTTTTTCCCTCAAAAAAGAGAGAAAATCGGAGTGCGTCTTATACACTGAATACAGCATTTTTTGCCTCCTGAAACCCTGCCCCCTTTGAAAAAATGGCCGTGTACAGCCTTTAGAAGGCTTCCAGAGTGCTCCTGCGGACTGAGGAGGGCAGAAATGAGCAAAAAACAGGCCGTTTTTGCTCATTTTTGCCTCCAGAAACACTCTATAAGCCTCCTAAAGGCCATCCATGTCCTTTTTTTGACAAAAAATGGGCCCCTTTTCATGAAAAATGGGGCATTTTTGGGAGGCCTGAAGAGTGCAAAAACTTTTTTTTTTAATTTGCCTCTTCAAAATCTTGGTGCATCTTATACTCCAAAAAATACCGGTAATAGCTCTTGCATATTCAGTAAGATGAAATAATCTCTTTGCCAAAGGAAAGCAAACATTTAAATATTTCAAAAAAGAGAGAGAGGAGGATCAAAATTCTCTCTCTCTCTCTCTCTCTCTCTCTCTCTCTCTCTGTGTGTGTATGTGTGTGTAATGGATTGACAAATTAAATACTTATGTAATGGATAGCCAAATTAAATATTTTTACAGTGAAATTACCCTGTTTAAAACCACGTTATTTTTTCTATAGGTGGAATGATATTGGAAACATAACACACAACAAGTCTTCAATTGTTGTAGAATTGGTTAACAAAGAAGAAACTGTACTGTTTCATACGGTAGGCAAATGATAAAAGATCAGTCTCAGAATCATAATAATGATAAAAGTGACGTATCCTGAGCCCAGTGATAGATTGCAATAAAGCAACAAGAAAATGTGGCATTTCTTAGAACTTATTTCTTTAGTAGACTGATGGTTTCACAGAAGCAAAGCATCTTGTCCGTTCCTTTTCAGAGAGAGATGTTCCACTCAAGTGGGAATTTCCACTTCATTCTCATGAATATTTACATCACCTAGGTATTCTATATGATAGAGAGCAGTAGCCTTCTTCCAGGGATGTTAACCAGATGTAGCAAAATTGAAAAAGTCTCGCTATCTCCAATTTATCTTTGGAGAGAAGCTATAATACAAATTGGTATTGCACTAACCTACCAAATAATAGCAATAGCACTTAGAGTTATATACCACCCCATAGTGCTTTACAGCACTCTCTGAGCTGTTTGCAAAGTCAGCATATTACCCCAACAATCTGGACTCTCATTTTACTGACCTCAGAAGGATGGCAGGCTGAATCGACCTCAAGCCCATCAGGATCAAACTCCAGGCTGTGGGTAGAGATAGCCCTCAATTCTGCATTCTAACCATTGTACCAGCAAGGCTCTTTTAAATAAAGTTTGAAAAAAAAGGGGGGGGCACTTAGTTAAATAGGCATTTTCTCCCTTTACGTTTGGCTTTAACAGCTTGGAAGTTCATGACTTTTTGAAGTATTAAATTAGAATAAAAGGTATCCACAGCCCTTTAAGTTGAATTTTGCACTAAAACTGTAACCCAAAATTAGTTATGTATTTACTGATTGAGGTGGGGGCTTTGTGCTGGGCAGTTGGCTGACAGTAAATGAATGGAATGAGGGCTGAAGAGGGCAGTGCCAGCTATCTGTTAGCAGTCTCCCATTGAGCAGTGACCATCAGCTGGTCAGAAGTGGCCAGATTCAGCAGGCCAGTGGCTACATGCTGATTGAACCTGATCTCCCCAATGTATAAATTTCCTAGTTTAGAGAAACTTGTTCTCTCCATTTTCATACTGCTCTGCCTTTGGGAAACTTTGAGCCAATTGCATTCACTTCTGAGCCACAGAACTGGCAAAGACCTGCTAAAGTTTAATAATGCAGCAGCCTTATTTATTCTTTAGCCCAGTTTTGGAGCCAGATGGTATGGCACAATTGCACTAGTATCCCTGATCTACGATAACTTGAATGATGCTAAACTTGGGATTTTTGTATATATTTTTCTGCAAAGCATTCTCCCTACTGAATATTTCAGAGGAACATGGTCAGTGTTATATAACTCTTTGTTATGTTTGTCCCAGTGAAATTCAGTGTTATTCTTCCCTTCTTTTTCCCTGTTCTCTCCCTCCCACCTTTTCTGCTTTAAAAGGATGACCTTGAAAATGCCAAGTACATTTCACGGCTCTTTGCTGCGAAGCACAAGTTTTACAAACAAAACAAAATCTGCACAGAGTAAGTACATATCTTTGAGAAATTCTGGCTGGCTGCAATAAATGTCAAGTGGTCGTGTTTTTGGATTAGGTTATTTATGTATTTGTCATGGGTTCGTTTGTTTGTCTGTTTGAGGCCATTGTATTATTTATTCTCCATCTGCTCATTGCCCATATAGCAGAATCAAAGATTATAACTCTAGTCGTAATGTGTTTTCTTCATGGGTATGCCAGAGATACAAAAAAAGAGGAAACATTCTTTTTTGTAGATGTCTTGGAAATCTCTCATTGAAAGACAGTCAAAGAATGCTTGAAATGAAACAGATGAGAAGGAACGGCATGAAAATCAGGTGTTTCCCACTGTAGTCTAAAATCTACCGTTTAGGTTTAGACATTTGTACAAGGCTTTATAAATTATTGGCAAGCCCCGTAGGACTTTTCAATTTCTAACTTGACTTTGGTTAACAAACCAGAATGAGAAAATTGGTTTCCAGAAACTTGCTTTGTCCTCCTGGTTCCACTTGGAGGAAGTGTTTTTTAGTGTTGCTGTCATTTATGGAATAAGCAACCAGCAGCTCATGCCAAAGACTATTATGTTCAGGTTTTCTGTTGGTTTCTTTCTGATTTATAGCTATCCCCATCTATACTGCATATTCATCTCTCCTTGGTTTTAAGCTTTCTGTCCTCTATCTTCCTTCATATTAACTTGCCATGGCAAATATTCCTTTGCATTGGAGTGGAGAAGAAAAACTTACTGCCACTTTATACAGATTGTGGTCTGTGTTGAACTCCCATTTTTTCTATAGGTACGTAAGCTGCATTTTCTTGCCGGTAGTTATGTCACTCTGGTCTCAGGAATACAAGTAGCCTATATCAGAGGTGTCAGTATAATAATGTGACATCTGAAGCATGGGGCCATTTAAATACTCTGTTGTATTAGATGTTTCATTTGCTCTGATCAGGGCTTTGTAAATTTGGATAACCACTAGATTGCAGTGATTTTTATTTTGTTTGTTTTTTGCCACAGACGTGGAAGTGGATTAATGTCATGTAAGATGTTTGAAAGAGGGATTCTTGAGATGCACATCTGTGCCCAAACTCGAGTGATTAGCTATTGTGAAATCACTTATCTATCACTGTTTATCTAAGAGATTGAATGGAGGAAATAATCAAAGATAAACAAATAGGTGCCTTTCAGATACTTGGACTTTAGTTCCCATGCTAGATTTGCTTTCTAAGTCAACCTGTGTAAAAGTGCCTTAAAGGAGTTACTCAGTGCTTTTTTGCTTGCAATGCCCCAGCAGCTTGTGCATCTGAGCCATGGGTGGCACAGTGGTTAGAATGCAGTATTGCAGGCTAATTGTGCTGACTGCCAGCACTTCACAGTTCGAGTCTCACCAACTCAAGGTTGACTCAGAAACTTTAGGGCAATGCTAACTGGGGAATTCTGGAAGTTGAATCCCATACATCTTAAAATGCCTAAGATTGACAAACAGTGTTCTAGGGTTTAATTAGTTAAAATATGACTAAGAGGAAATCATGGTTGACTTTACAACCTGGCTTACAAATTGAAGTGCCATATCCGTCCTACCAGTATTTATCATCTGTGGAGCTTTCATAACTGGGTGTTTCTTACATGACAATATTGGCATGCTAATTGAAATATTTATTAGATTTATATCTTGTCTTCTACACAGGATATATAGTAAATGCTCCTTTATCCTATCTGTTCTCACAACTATAAACCTGTAAAATAGTTTTGCTTTGAGGGAGTGAGACTGGCCCAAAGTCCCATTGTGAGCTTCCATGGTTGAGGATGAATTAGAACCTGGTTCTTCCTGATTCTAGTCTGAGAAGTCAGAGAAAGTAGGAAGTATAACGCTTTTGGTTAAAACCTAAATCACATCAAAACATTGTACACAATTGGATACTTTATTTTTAGCTTTGCACCATTTGTTTTTATTTTCATTGCAGTAATCAGACAGATAGCAGTGTATAACAACTGTCCTTTTATTACAAAGCACAACCACCTATAGCCAGTTTCAGAAAGAGAAAATAAAACCAATGATGGTATAGGAAGCCAGCATGATAAGAAATAGCAGGCCTCCTACAGTGGCAAATATTTTCTAGAAATGTGATAGGGGGAAAGAAGTAACGTTTGCATTGGTTTTGTGTTTACTTTCCTGTATCTTTAAGCTTTGGAAGATAAGGAAGGATGACTTAATGAGTTTCAATCACGTAGAACTACACAGTGACCTAATTTCCATAAAAGTTGCCACCATGAAAGGAAAAAAAACCCTAATGCCTCAATGAAAGTAATGCCAGTTACTGTATGCCAGTAACTGATGGACAGAGATAGAAGAGCGGGACCAGGTTATAGTTCATCCACAGAATTCAAATGAAGGTAGAAGCACAGGTATCTATACTCCAAAAGCAAGTTTTTTGCGTTTTCTTGGCTAAAACCTTGGCACTCTTTGTAGTGGTTGAAAGTTCTTGAAGGTTTCTTTCGGTGCATCTTTAATAAAAAAAAATGTAATATAAAATGTGTGTTGTCTTGATCCAGATTTGAGTTACCACAAATGGGGGGTGGGTGTAAATTTTGCATGAGATGACTGAGGGAAGAGCAAAAGAGAAACTGCTGATAGATCGACCCCATTTTCAGCCCCTCTCCTCTCCCATTCATTTTATTCTAGGTGTCCTGGCCATCCGAGTATGAAAGCTAGGGTTTTTATTCTTACACGTGAATTTTTTAGCATTCAGGATTTTCTTCCTTTGGGTGGGAACATGATGATCTAGAGCAGGGGTGTCAAATCCATGTTGTCACGTGACGTATCACAACTTTTTGCCCCTTTGCTAAACCGGGCATAGGCGTGGCCAGCGCATGACGCATCCGGACCACGAGTTTGACAGCTCTGATCTAGAGAATATTTGTGAAGCTGGAAGAATTGTGTTTCATGTGAGATGTTGATATTCTTGTTTTATTGATGTAGTGTTGTTTGATTTATTTATTTTTTTACTTTTTTTCAAATTCTACTTTTGTTGTCAACTGCCTTTGGAGTCTTGTCTGGAAAGTGGTCAGAGTGTTTTCAGAATTTAGTAAAAGAATATGTTGGTTGGGTTAACAGCATTAGTTCCCAAGATCTATTATTTCTAGCTTGAAGTTTTCCATATCTTTATCTTTTGCATCTGCTGTTTGCAATTTGTATGGAGGCAGGTTTGAGTGGGTATTTTCTAATTGCACATCACATCATTTACCAGATCAGAAAATGTAAGATGAGGAATTCCACCTTTCCTTTCTGCACGTAAGCACTTTATTTCTACTGTACCTTGTGAATTTGTTTTTTTTATTTTGTGCCTCTTTGTTCTTTCTCCCACATCCCACCTGCTTCTTACTATTTTAACATGAAATTCCATTTACCTGCTTGTTTCTCTCTTAGCCTGTGAGTGCCTTTATCTTGTTGGGTGATTTGTTATGCTCTTACTGTTATCTTTTTTTAAATTCCCTTTCCAAAACTGGCTTTCTCCAACTTGGTGCCCTTCATATCTTGGACCTATAATGCTCATCATCTCACTAATGGAAATGACAGAAGTTGTGGTTAAACAGGTCTGGAGAGCTATAATTGGAGAAAATATGGCCTAAACAATATCAAATTAACTGATAGTTTGGTTTGGTTCTATTGAATTTATTGTCTGCATTTTCAGGTTTAAATAAATGTTTTTTTTAAGGGCATGTATGATATTAAATGTTAATGCCTTTATAAATAATACTCTCTAGTGCTTTAGTACATATATTTTCATATCCATTTCAAAACAGATAATAACTGCCATTATGTAACAGTCTTTTTATTCCACTTGCATAAGAATACATGTTCTGTATTTTACAGAATTACAATGATTAAGAATCATTTCCATCTTTTCCCCACAGACAATCAAATTCTCCTCCCCCTATCAGACGGCGGCCCACATGGAGCAGATCATCTTTGGTAAATATCTTGCCATGAGTGCTGAGCTCAAGAGACACGGAATACTCTAGAGTTGCTCCAAATACAAACTGTTGTAATAAACCGTTTTGTAAAAAGAGCTGTGGTGGCGCAGTGGTTAAAATGCAGTACTGCAGGCTAATTCTGCTGATTGCCAGCTGCCAGCAGTTTGATTCTCAGTAGGCTCAAGGTTGACTCAGCCTTCATCCTTCCGAGGTTGGTAAAATGAAGACCCAGATTATTGGGGGCAATAGGCTGATTCTGTAACCCGCTTAGAGAGGGCTGTAAAGCACTATGAAGTGGTATATAAGGCTAAGTGCTATTGTTATTATAGACAGATTACCAAAAATAATGCAGTAAATAACTGTCCAATGTGTATGTTTTATTTTACTTCACTTTTTAGCCAAGGCAACACACCTTTATTATGCCTCCTGTGCATGTCCAATGTGGAGAACATTACACTGAAACTCACAATTCACAAGGTTAGTGATGGGAATGGGAATGATAGCAACAACATCAGATACAGTGCCTACTTTTTAAAAAGGAATTTACAATATCAAGCTTTTTTTTTTTTTTGCACTATGATAAGGATAGGCATTTTTCTTCATGAGGTTTCTATAACATATTTGAGCAATTGGCTGAAGACAGGGCAGAATTAAATGAACTTTCATCTTTGTTCAATATATGCATCCTCTTTCCAAAATAGGTTTGCATCCAAGTTTTGCCATTCCAAATCCAAACATCTAGCTTGACTCAGCAGTCTCAGTGTTTGTATTTGTCTCATTGGCCAGGTACATAGTTAATAATAGTTGCCGGATTGAAATGGAGCCTTTCTGATTGACAGCCATAGTTTTTTTACCTACTGTGCAGTCATATCTCCCTTTCTCATGGAAGGGTTACTGGTGATCTGGCTAATACATGAACTGAATGGCAGAGAAAGTGAAGTAAGTAAGTAAATGATTCATTGATAAGAATTATTTAGCAATGACATTCCTAGTGTGTTAAAATCTAAAATTGAAGAGATAGATAAAAGGTACGTCTTGGAATAGTAACAGGCTAGTAGAAATAATAAAATAGCTCTGATTCCATCCTAAGGTTTGGAAATAGATGGTTGCTTTATTTTGGCTACAGTTTAGAAAAAGTACCTTATGTTTGCCTTCGTATCTCTCCTTAGAGAGTCCAAGAGAAAATTTATTTATTTATTTTACAGTTTTTTTTATAGAAGATTCTGGACAAGCTTATAACCCTTGAAATTATAAAATCAACAGTTGAAATAAATCAAAATTATAACAAACAGTCAATTCTTTCTCTATGATGGTCTCCAATAAAACATAGCTAGTCTTTGAAGACCTAAAAACTTCAAGAGAGCTTATTGACATCTGGTGGTCAAGAGTTCTAGATGGCTTCCAGTTTGGAAGCCATCACAGAGGAGGCTTATCATTCATATTTGGTCTTCTGAGAACAAAAGTTCTTGCCAGTCTCCCCACCCACACCCCCAAATTTCCTTGAATGAATAGAGAACATCTGAAATCAAATTATCAAGTTGAACATAAATACCATTATTCTTCTGAGCTTCCTCCCATCGACATGTTGATGAAGGTAAATGAAGGGCAATAGATAAATCTTATCATGTCTACTTTTTTGGTGATGTCATACTTCTGAATAAAACTGCAGTCAGCAATACATGATCACTATGCTTCGAACTTTTAATCACGAGCCCTGCATGTACTCGGATGAGAGTACAAAATGTTTGTGTGAGTAAAATTCCTATTAAAAAGGAGGAAAAAGATTTTTGAATGTGTGGGTGAGTGGATAGATGGATTGACACACAAAGCTTTCCCAAGTTGTCCATATTAGAATTCTGCACTGACAAGAACGTTACTGAATAGTGACAATAATAATATTCATTCCATTCAAAAGACAATGATCCCAAGTTTCTGTACTTGTTGGCATTGCTATTCCTAAATGTGAGGAACTCGAAAACTGCATTAGATTTCTTTTTCTACAGCCATCAGTGACGAGACTTTGTTTATGCAGGTGGGACTGCTATGGCCGAAACTGAGATGTAGCCCTAATAATGTTTTTTACATCACTTTTTTCTATCTGCCTGTTCATTGTATTTTTCATTTATTTTCTATTTTTCCTACACACAGATAGCATTTTTCATGGAAATGAAGACATGTTTTACTATAGATCTCAGACTAGCTTGGACAGATGTGCAATGGACTTCAGCTATTTGAACGGCAGTGTCCCAAATGGCAGTGTGTGCAGTGCCCAAAGTATGAACTCTCTCAACCATTCGCAGAACTTCGTTCAAGCTTCTCCGGTGTCCTCCAACCTCAGTATCCCTGGAAGTGACATTATGAGAGCAGATTACATACCAAGCCATAGACACAGTGCAATAATTGTCCCTTCATATAGGCCAACCCCAGATTATGACACTGTAATGAGGCAAATGAAGAGAGGAGTGATTCACACTGATAGCCAAAGCCAGTCTTTGAGGAACCTCAACATTGGGAACACTCATGTTTACAGCCAACCCACAGATCTTGTATACAGTCAACCAGAAATTCAGGAGAGACCTTCTTATACCATTGCATATGGGCCTCAAGGCACTTATAAAAAACACATGACTCATTCTGAGCAAGTGAATCCCATGAATGCTTTGCAGGCAAAACCGACATCTAGTGCCATTTCTCATACAGTTAGCACTCCAGAGCTGGCCAATATGCAGCTCCCCAACAATCAAAGATGTGGCCCTGCACAAGTACTGAAGAACTATCTTTTTAGGCCACCACCACCCTATCCGCGTCCACGTCCTGCTACCAGTACACCTGATCTAGCAAGTCACCGCCACAAGTATGTCACTGGCAGTAGTCCTGATCTGGTCCCTCGGAAAGTGCAGCTTTCAGTGAAGACTTTCCAAGAGGACAGCGCTCCTGTCGTCCACCAGTCACTACAGGAAGTTAGTGAACCTCTGATGGCAGCCAAACATCATGCAGCCATCAACAAACGCCACAGTTTGGAAGTGATCAGTAATATGGTACGTGGAATGGAAGCGATGGCTTTAAAAAGCCTAAATGCTCCCTTGCCACGCAGAAATACCCTACGCAATGAGATGCAGCCAGAGGAAGTGGTGCAAAGGGGGCATGAGGTTCAGCAGCTCCCTCACTACCATCACAAAAAGACCTTCTCGGATGCTACAATGCTGATCCACAGCAGTGAAAGTGAAGATGAGGAAGAAGCATCAGAATCTGTGCCTTCCATGGCAGCCCTACATGAAAACATGGAGTATAGCGTTCAATTGCAAGCTGCCTTGGCTCGAATACCTAACAAACCTCCTCCTGAGTATCCAGGTCCCAGGAAAAGTGTTAGCAATGGAGCTCTGCGGAATGACCAGATAAATAACGTTCCGCGGGCTGTGTCTCGAGTCAAGGTGGCAAGGCCGGGACCAGCGAGGACAATTAGCATATCTCGGACTGATCAGAACATGATGAATGGCTCTTCCCTTGGTCCATCAATCTCTGAGCCAGACCTCACAAGTGTCAAGGAACGGGTCAAGAAAGAGCCAGTGAAGGAGAGGCCTGTGTCTGAAATGTTCTCCATTGAAGATAGTATCATAGAAAGGGAAATGAGGGTGAGTGTATTTTCATGAACTTTAGCGGTATCTCTGAACGGTAACCAGAAGTTACAGTTGAAGAGAAATATTTACTATGTCATCAAAAAGAAGCCTTTCAAAGCTAGTTTAAATTAAAGACATAGGCCTCTGTTTGAACATATGGGCGATTGGGCGGGGGGGGGGAATCCAGCCCAAGAATGTCTTTATTAAACTGCAATTATAATCAGTGGTTAGAAACTTGAAATCTTTCACTGAAGTAAGTAGCAAAGTTGAAAAGTTCTTAACTGTAGCTTTTAGAAAATTTACATAACAATCATTGAAATAGATAAATGTTGTCTTGGATCATGTTCAGAGTCAGCATGAATATTTCAGAATACTTAAAATAGAAGACACTAGATTTCATTGATGCATAAGCCAATGTGATGTCTGAACTTGTAGTAAGATAATAAGAGATCTGCTATATCACCTTAAAAACAGGTCGAGGCCAACATTCTATTGCTGTGGTACTCATCCAGATATCCTGGGGAAATCTACAAGCAGGACATGGGTGACCCACACCATCTTTCTTCTATTCTCCAGCAACTGATATTCAGGAATATCTTCCTCTGATTGTTGAAATAGTGAATAATCATCATAGCTACTGACCATTGACAGCTATCTGCCCCCATTTTGAAAGCTATTCACGATTTCATTGTTATAGTTAGCCCCCTGGTTTAAATATGTGCTGTATGGATAAATCTGTTTATTTTCTTCAACTGAAAGCAGACTCTTGATAAGAAAAATGTAGAATTGCTGATGTTCTCATATTTCCAGAGTGAACAAGAAATCCAACATCTAGATTATTCAGGCTGCTCAGGTTGACAGAACATTAATTTTATTTTTAAGTCAGGGTACATTTTTTACCCAACCTCTCCCTAGTTCATCATTCCTTGGCTTTTGTTATTTTCAGGTCATCCAGTAGTAACTAGGCATATTTTGGTTGTCTTTTGAAGATCTGGAAACTCCCCAGAAAGGTTTATGAAGTGGTAAGGCTTAGGGAGGCAATCAGAAGAACAGTTTCCCTTGAAGCTTTCAACATCAAGCCAGACCACCTAGATTTGAAATACAGCCATTTATTACAGACTTGTAAGACAATTTTAATTTTAATAATTTTGTAAAGAGATTACCGTATTTTTTGGACTATACGACGCACCGAGTATAAGATGCACTAAGATTTCGAAGAAAAAAAATAGTTTTTGCCCTCCCTTGTCCCCAGGAGCACTCTCCAGGAGTCTCAAACCCTCTGCACATCCCATTTTTGCAAAAAACAACAACAAATGGTCTTGTTTTCGCAAAAAATGGGCCCATTTTTAGCCTCCCAAACCTCCCACACATCCCGTTTTTGCCCTCCCCAGCCTCCAGCAGCACTTTGCAGGCATCCCAAACCCTCTGCGCATCCCAGTTTTGCATAAAACGTCTCCGTTTTTGGTGAAAATGGGACGTGCGGGGCGAAGTTTCAGGAAGCCAAAAATGGCTGTATTCGGTGTATAAAACTCACTGACATTTCCAACCTCTTTTTAAGTGGGGGAAAGTGTGTCTTATACTCCAAAAAGTATGATAGTTGAACCCTGAAAAATATTTGAGAATTCTTTCAAGGCTACATATAAATCTATGAATAATATATTTGAAAGGTAGAATATTACCAAACTAAAAGAAGAGAAGATGGCCGACATTTCATAATATCCCCTAAATCATCCCCCCCCCCCCGGAAGAATGCCCTTTGTTAGTTAAGAGCAATCGAAAAAGGTGCAGGAGCTTTCATGAATTTTGAGAAATGGCATCACAAATGCCAGTTAATGGCATGTATAGTTTTTGAATCTAACAGAAATGGGCCATAGAGGGTGGGAGAGAAAGAGTTCTTTTTTTTTTTTTTTTTACATTTCATAGCTTTGCACATTTATACTTACTATACTTACCTATTATGAACCTTTTCAAGTTGATCTTTTTGGTGGGATTGGGGTAGATGGGTGAGGAGAGATATATTTTTATTCAGTTTCCATTTTTAATGGAGCTCATTGGTTTAATTTCAGCATGACAACATCATTTAAAGTATATTAGCAATCTGGGTCTTATATCTGATTTTTGCAGTTTTCTTTGCTAGCTCGTGTTGTTTATTCTGTGGCTAACATTTACATTTGATGGAGAATATGAAAGAGAGAAAGGACTGCCTCTGATGACAAGTCCTCTGTATTGTGAGACAGTTTCTTTGAAATTAAAATTCTGCATTCATGTCAGGATATTATCTCCTTCCCCCAAGGAAATAATAGGAAGTTTAGGAGATGCATTTGGGTTTGTTCTGCTAATGACGATCATCTGCACTCCTCAGTTGGTGTTGTAGATTTTGTGGGAGATTAAAACGACATTCCAACATTCTGCTGGCATTGTTTCTAATCATCCTGAGATGAAAGCATGCCTTTTCTTGCCAAAAGTATCTAGAGAAACAGAAGATGGCAGGCCTGGAAGCCCAGAAGAGGCCCTTGATGTTGGCAGCACTCAATGGACTCTCAGTTGCTCGAGTTCCAGTGCCTGAGGATAGCCAAGATGAAGGAGCCAAGGTGCCAATGGATGAGCGGGTAAGAATAGGACTTGCAAAACAAAGCAGATTTTTTTTCTTTTGGGGGGTGGGTGGGTATAGGGAGGTTGCCAGCAATGGTCATTCTTAAATAGTTCATTTAAAAATACTTGAGCAATAGTATACTATACCCTTATGTTAAGTGTAAAATGTAAAATGGGGATTATATGTATGGGATCACCAGTGCAACATAGGGGGAAATATTAGGACCATGCTAAGTCATGAAAGTCTTCCCCATGAATTAGTCCATGAACAGTTTTATTTGTCTGTAAACAACAGAATGCTTTTATCCTTCCCTACCTTTCAGTTGCTAGTGGTAGCATAGGTAGCTCTCTCTCCTTTGCTAAGTATATCATCAAACAACTCTCTGAGAATGAATTAAAAGTAAAGAATAAAAATNTCTTATAGTCTTAAAAATATGGTAATAACCCACAACTATCCAGTGAACTGTATGGGGAATTGAATCCAGGTGATTCCAATCTTATTCTGACATTGTAACACCTATATCATGCCAACTTAATACTTGATCTGTTCTTTAGTTTCAGTGATTGTTGCTAATTTTGTTTCTGTTTCCGTTGGGGGCGGGGTAGGAAAGAGGAAGAACCAAAAGCCATCGTTATTGGCCCATACTTGGCTCAAAACATAGCTCAGCCACTTATGGAAAATTCAAAGTGACCACCAAATTCCGGACTGTTTCTGGTTGCTATGCTACAACAGGCCTGAAGGTCAAGCACCTAGGTGAAGCACAGGAGAAGACTGTGTGGCATTTACATTACACCAACTGGCCAGATCATACTTGTCCAGGAGAGCAAGACTTCCTATGTAAGTTTTCCTACATGTGAATGCAATGGCAACTGTATGGAGGTAGGGGGAGGGGGAGAGGGAGGGAGAGGGAGAGCAAAAAAAGAGGACTGTTAAGAAATGTTTATCAGGAAAGATAACAAATAGATGACCATTGCATTTTCTTAATGAAATGAATCCTATTATGTTACAAAAATAAATGCAATAACCTAACAGAATTCATTTTGTCGAGAAAACAGTGAAGAATGAATTCTGCATATGAATGTTGAATAATGAATATTCTACATTGACCGTAAAATACCTAAATAATATTCTTATGTGCTTGTCAGGATTTCCCAAGGTTTTGCTTGGATTCTCTTAGATCAGTGTTTTCAAACTGAGTAACTATAAGATACGAGGTTTTCAACTCCCAGAATTCCCCAGCCAGCATGCATCTCCATTTTTGGTTGTTAAAGTTCATACCTCTTAAAGCTGTCAAGTCTGAAAAACACTGTCTTAGATTAACTTCCGTATTAGAGAAAAAACATATATAATAAGGCTCAGGTTTTCTAATCTGATTCTCCCAAAGAGAGGAACTCAGATTCTATACTTCAAGATATAGAATACATAGTTGAATTGATAATGTCACTTTAAACAATTTACCTTACTCAGAAGTGCTGACCTTACATAGAAGTGGTTCTCAGAATCTCTAGCAAAAGATTCCACACTGATTGCGTAATGTGCATAGTTATTATGAAGTTGTTCTCTTGAGAGCAGCTGCCAGGGATTGCATATAGTGGCATTTGATGAGCTGATAATCAGATTGCTTTGAAATACTTTACTGTATACACTATAACATTTTAAGAACTTATTTGGATACAGAAGACTCCCCACTAGAGAGGTTTGGCTTCAAAATCTGTAAAGTAGCTGAAACAATTACATGAAGGGGATAACATCCTTCCTCTCTTCCCCTTCTGCATCCAGCAGCTCTTAAAGCAGAGTCCTTGAGTAGGACTAAGCAGTCTTGGGCCTTGTTTAACATCACAGATCATTGTTGTCGAAGGTTTTGTCTTTAACAACTCTGGTGCAGCTAAAGGGAAACCTGATGTTTGCTTGTTTTGCTATTCAGACTTTTCACTAGGCCTAAAAATGACACCTGGAAATTGAGAGTAGGGCAGAAATACTTGAAATTCCGTCCCAATATGCAAGGTAAGGAAAGGGCCAGATGGATGGCTCCTTCCCATTAGATAGTGCTCCAGCAGGCATGTTTCTGGGGAAACTTGCTGTTGTTCTGATCCCAGCCTGTTAATCACAGGAATTGCTGTAAGTAATGTCTACAGTCATCTGCTTCAGGGACCTTGGGATTTGCAAAGGGTGTAAGAGTGTGTGGGGAGGATTTTTTTTTTGAACAGCTGATTAATTTAAAGTCCCAAGTAGTAATCTACACCCTGCTGGCACTTACTGAATTCAGCATGGTTTGCTGTCTAGAGGCCAAATAATTAGTGATTCCTAAGAGCTGTAAATGATCATAATTTAAAAAGAAACTTCCCCTCAACTTACTTGCCATAGTTTATGTAAAACTGCAATAGATTTGGGAAATGTACTTTTTTTGTTTATTCCTACCTTGCAGCCTATTTGGAAGAGATCCAATCGGTGCGCCGTCACACAAACAGCATTCTGGACAGCAGTAATAATTGCAACCCTCCAATTGTTGTGCACTGTAGTGCTGGAGTAGGGAGGACAGGTGTGGTTATTTTGACAGAGCTTATGATTGGCTGCTTGGAACACAATGAGGTAAGTGAAAGGGTCTTCCTGAAGTCATTTATTTCTTCCTAAGAAGAGGTGCAGTCCAAAGAGTGCCAGTACAGGGTGAAGTATAAATGTATGCAGGTAAAGATCCACCAATACTAAAGGGTCATCATATTACACTGTGCCACAAAAACAACACTCTTGTGTGGCCTTAAAACCTAACAAATGTGAACCATGTAAATGGATAGGATCAGAATATATTTCTTATTGTGGCAAGACCCTCAGTCAGTCATCAAAATATCAACATAGTTTATACACACTGGCCTATGCATCTTCAAACTCACACAGAGACATGAAAAAGAAATGAAGCCTAATATCAGTAGAATGCAAAAGAAAAAAAAAAGGGGGGGGGAGATCTTTGCAAAGCTCAAGATAAGTAAATTGACCCATTCAAAACAACAGCCATTGGTAATGATCCAGGCATCCCTGTAAAGTATGCTAATTAACATCTGTAGTGGAATAGAAAACAAGTGTTTCCATTCAAGTCTAAATGGAGGGAAACTTCTAAATTAGTTCTAGTTCAGCAATTTCATGGTGGAGTCTCCAAATCCCAGCTTGTAAGTACAGTGAGAAAAAGAGACAAATCTCCTTCTCTCCATGAATAATTTTGCATGTCCCATCCCCCACTTCCTTTTTTTAAACATTAAAAAGAGAGAGATTTGAAAGCACACTGTCCAATATTTGTCCATGTCCTCTCACATGGTTTTGAAGCTTGGCTTGGAAAACAAGGATATTGTAATGGATTTGTTTTTGCAGCAAATACGAAAATTAAGGCTGAAAGTGAAACACTCAGCTATTAACAGTTGGGTTGAGCCCTGCGAGTTGAAACTAGTCTGCATTTTTTTCTTGCTTAGATTGAGTTCTAACTAGCTTAGCAAAGCAATTTAGGCTGCTGTTGATCAAATTCCACACAGCAGCATTCTTTGGTAAGGTTTGAAAGTTAACAGAGTTGAGAAGAGGAAAACTGAGATCCTTATCTGTACTTGTTTAAAACAAAGAAAGCAATCTGATTGTTCAAATAAAATGTGTTATAAGGACCTGGTGGAGGAATGGTACTCATCTGAAAGTCCCAAGACAACATTACCTCTCATAATCTTCTATATTCTCTAGAGTCCCTCTGAACTATAATACTTAAATTATAGTGTGACAGAAAACTGAACTTTTAAACTTCATTGGGATCAATAGTACTGAGTGGCACAGTGACCTAGTGGTGAAGACACTTGCCTCCCATTTGGAAGATTGAGCATTCAATATGGGTAGCGGCAGATGTTTCTCTTCTAGGATGCCAAAAAAATCTGCTGTGAACTCTGTCTGGTGTGGAGAAGGGCATCCGGCTAGTAAACTCTCCACTCCACCCAGTTGCCCCAATTCTACCCCGAATTAAGAGATTACAGGGTAATAAAAAGTGAATTTATTGGGAACATTAATACTAATTGTGTTTAATTTACAGTAAGTTTAACAAATCAGATTTGAAGTTTTACATTATCAGATTTCAGTGTGCTACTCAAAGTAGCTCTTTACCCCAAAATAGATAAAATTATATTATGATGTTGTTCAAGCATGGGGTGCCATCAATGAAGATTGACATGAATTAGTATTATATATGCTAAACTTGTTTGAACCTCTAGGTNTGTGTGTGTCTGTGTGTGTGTAATTAGTGTCACAACCCCTGGTATGCCCAAATATATATATATATCTGTATGTGTACACATACACACACACCACAAATTATAGGCCGTTAGTAGCTTCCTGAACAGTGTCGGGCTGGGAGACATCCCAGCAGATGCGAGGGAAAAAGGCAGATGTCTGTGTTACACAAGATCACACTGCTTGATCAACGAAACACAAAGATTGAACAGAAGTGCACCCACTGTACCCACTCTTTAAACAAAAAAAAATTAAGAATTTTAATTTCAGTGCTAAAAACTAAATACAAATGAAACTTAACAAAAGAGAGATTCTGTCCAATCTCGTGGGACAGGCAAAAACAACCCTAAAGCAGGTGATCACTCAAATAACTAGGCTCTATGCCACAAATTTAATTCCTTTTCTTCTTCTTTTTTCAAATCTTGGAACATGTCTTCCTCTATGGATTTGTTCTCTCTCTTTTGATCAGTTTGCCCTCTGTTATAGCAAGAACTGTTCTGCGGCAGGCCTGGGTTTTATCCTGTATACCGTTGAGGGAGTGGTGCCCAAATGGTTATGCGTGTGTGGGTTTTGTGCTGTAGGAAGGTCTCTGAAATAACGTGCTTTGCTGGCCCTTTCCTCTTTGCTTTTGTTTTGTTTTAAATCCTTTGAACTTCTGCCTGGGATGACTCAACCATTACAACCTTGTTTGTAACATTCTAGCTCCATTAGAAGATTGCAGCATGCCAAACAAAGCAAACAGAATTCCAGTGAATTCTGAGAATACAAAGCCTCTCTTATTTGAAAAGAATGGCATTCTCAGCTCATCCAAGGCCACCTCTGCGTACTAGAATCCTTATCAGCTGCAAGGAGACCAGAAGCTGTTATTCCTGTATAAAAGTATCAAGTAGGGGGGCGGGGGGGAGTCTACTGTTCATGCCAAGCAAAACAGATAATCCCCAAACTGTACGTTGCATTGTAAAACTGGCACGCACCGGCAAGCAGCAGTCTGAATCCAGTTCAGATGCAAGGATTTTACAGGCACAGAGGGTCAGCTGTTCTCTTCCTGATCATTCCCATTTTAAACATTTACAGCTATCAGCTGTTCAGAAGGGGGAGCAAGAGTCCATTAAATGCACCGTTACAGAATAATTGGGCCACGGAAAAAGTTGCTTTCTAAGCAGCTGCAGAGAACAGGACAATCTTATGACACAAACTGTGATTAGATGTATATATGCTGTTGCTATCTTTTTAATGAAGGAGGGAAACTTTGGAATCCCAAAATAGTAGAAATGTCTACATAATAATTGCAATGGGAATTCCTACCATGCTGAAATTTGTTTTAGCTTGAACACAAGCTGTGACGTAGACCTATGAATTCATAATAGAAAGTCTTTAACAACACACTTTNGTGAGCTGCCAGTGCACCTGTGTATGGAAATCCATGGATAGATGGCATCAACTGGCATCTTTAGTTGATTTCAGATTACATTCCAAATCATCCTTCGATCCCGACTTGGCTTTATTCTTGCTTTCATTCTGCAATCTGAATCTGAAACAGCTGAACATATGCAAAATAAGTTGATTTAAAGGCACCGTTTATGGCTTTTCTTAGCCTACTGTATTTTCAAAACAACCCTGCACGAAGCCTAAGAAGATGGCTAGGGCAACATTTTCAAAGCAAACCTCTTGGCCTGATGGCGTAACTGATAGTGACACTGAAAATAATTTCTAGAATAAAAGAGTTTAGAAGAAAATCATTCCATGTTTTTTTATCTAGTGGTTTGTTGTCTTGCTATTTTTTTCTAAATGAATACATCTATTTATAATGATAACTTTTCATTTTGGTCCAAATAATTTTTAGCTCTAACTATACTTCCTGAAAGACATTTCTCTTGAGTTCCAAGAGCTGTTTGATCATAATTTGCAATACTAAAACCCCTTGTTGAGTTAAAAGCCTTCTAAATCAGAATCCTATCAGATTTCTGCCAAAAGACCTGGTGGCAAGAAGATATTGGGTACTTTTGGCACGATCTGCCTTAGCTTGGATGACTGATTACTGAATGGAACATTTTTCATCTATCTATGGGAGGAGAAATTGTTTGGAAAGGCATAGTTTCACCCCATCAGGTGCCAAGGGCCAAGAAGAAGTCTCCCTAGCCAGTTTTAAAACCTCATATTTCATCTGGTATATCAGTATTGGGCATGCACACATTGTTCTGTAGCACATGTCGGGGCATGTGCTGATCTATAGTCATATACGACTCTGCGTGTTGTCAGTACATTTCTTTCCTGCACTCCAAGTGGCTGAGGCAGAAGCCAAGCAGATGTTCTTTTACTCAGAAGGTGAAACTCCATCTGCAATAAAAAGAAATTGCCTCATTTACACAGCAAGTGATTTTTCTCCCAGTTACCAATATCTAAGTCAGGATAATATTATTCCTCCATGTTCCAGGCTATTCTTTCATTCTTGGCTGTTTATGGATTTTTATTCCAGCCTTGTTCCAGGTAGTTGAAAATGGGCCTTTGAATTGTAACCAAATGTAGTGAAGAGATCCCCACAGATGAAAATGTGATTTAAAAAAATATTAGAATGCAATTAAAGGAAAAGATTAACATTTGCAATTAAAGGAAAGGAAGAATCTGATTATTATAATATATAGGAGCTATTCTATCAATGATTAGTTTAGTTTACTTTATTGTCATTGCACCTTGTACAATGAAATTAAATGTGATCTTCAGTATACAATGACAGTTCAGGTTGTGATTGTTAAGGAATCATGTGCAGTCACAACATTAGGTGGTGGCTGGTTTCCTCATTGACTTGACTTATTGGAAGCTGGTAGGGAAGATCAAAAATGGTGATGATGTGACTGTGAGAAGCTGTGACTATTGTGGCTGTGTGCCAGTTGCCAAGTGCCCCAATCCTGTGATTGTGGGGACACTGTGACAGCCACAATTTCAAGGACCCGCATAAGCCTTCTTGTTGAGCACTTATTTATTTAGAGAATAAATATGAACATAATGTATTATAAATAAACTCAGAAGAGAAATGTTATAACAATATGTTAAGTTTTAAGTACTAGTATTAAAATAAAAATGAAAATATAATGAATATGGTGGTAAGCTTTAACTATTATGGCACAAAAAATTTGTACCCAAACAACACACAGTTTAATGAATGATAAAATGTTTGTATTAAAATAAAAAATTTAAAAAAATGGAAAAAAAGAATTGTAACCAAAGGTGAATAGTCTGATAAGAGTTATCCTACTTTTCTGCCAATCTTGGTTAGGTTGTCTCCCTTTTTTATACTTTAATTTTTATCCAGGTTGCTGAAATTACAAACATTCTATCCA